TCACCCTGAAATGATGACTAAAATGCAGTGTCACCCTGAAGTAAACGTAAATGGAAACATAAAGTTCAATTCAGTTTCTTTACCTGAGTATAATTATAGTATATTATATATATATATATATATATAATATTCAAAAGATGAAGACAATGATAAGGAGGAAAGAGAGAAAGAGAGTTTTGATGATGAAGAAGTGACAGATGAGGAGAGTCAAGGTACAAGCAAAATCGTCGAACAAACATCGATTATAGACAACAGTGACGATATGATTATTGAGGAACTAGGCTCCGAGGACACTGCCGAAACGAGCGATAAAGTTGCCCCGTCTGTGGATGGGGCAAGCAGTAGAGATGATAGTGTTGCCCCATCGGATAATGGGACGACCGATTCTGTGAAGCCTCATAATCGAGGGAACTCTAAATTGCGACTTGTTCTGAGACCACTTTGTGAAGACGGATGTTCCAAATGCGGGTACGACCATTCGGAACGTCCCGGGTTTATCCCAAATTCGGGATCCCTGGCCCGTTTCACGATGGAGCAACCCGTCTGCCGATTGCCGTCCCCATTTCTAAACTATAGCCTTCTACCATCGGGCTACTGCGCAGAGACATTGAGAGACTGTGCGGAAATCGAGAGGAGAGGAATGAATTTTTGCGAGTGAAAGGTCAATCCACCATATTTTCGTACACGAGGGAGGGGGAAGTTGCCATGGGAACCAGATCATCATCGTTAAGCTGTCCCGTTGACGACGTGACACACCAGAGTGACTGTCTCAAAAAATTACAGGAGGAACTTCGATGGCCGAAGAGCGTCGCACGGCCCAGCGTGAGAAGATGATGAAAAGAGAGAAGGAGAGAAGAAGTCATCGGAAAGGCACCCCCGAAAGCCGAAAAACCTGAAAAACCGGTTCCAGAGCCCTCCAGCGAAGGCCCAAATCCTAAAATCCAAACGAACCCCAAAAATAATGTCGACAAAAACTCCGGATCTACTACAAAACGAAGAGAGTGTGTTTTCGAAAATATTTCAAAAGCTTGAATTTCTGCCTTACAACCCCCTACCAGTCGATCTCGATGAACTGGTTTTTCCGGAAAAATCTCGTCCTCGCAGATATTTGACGACCCGTATTGGCCTAGTAAATCCAGCTGCATTAGGCTGGTCGAAACATTGGGTACTGCTTCAACATCTTTTTCATCGTATACTGGAACCTACCTCTCTCCCAATGCTAAAGGAGCAAAGTAAGTTGACCACAAGTATATCGATGGTTGGTAGGCCTGTCCTTCTCCCCACTTGCTTGCAATTTAGGCCACCCTGTTCTTTCACTGCACACTCCAGCTATAGTAAAGGTATTCAGGATGGTTGGTTGGCCTGTCCTTCCCTCCACTTGCTTGCTAAAAGTACGAACAATTAGGCCACCCTATTCTTTCACTGCACACTCCAGCTATAGTCAAGGTATTCAGGATGGTTGGTTGGCCTGTCCTTCCCTCCACTTGCTTGCTAAAAGTACAAACAATTTAGGCCACCCTATTCTTTCACTGCACACTCCAGCTATAGTCAAGGTATTCAGGATGGTTGGTTGGCCTGTCCTTCCCTCCACTTGCTTGCTAAAAGTACAAACAATTTAGGCCACCTATTCTTTCACTGCACACTCCAGCTATAGTCAAGGTATTCAGGATGGTTGGTTGGGCCTGTCCTTCCCCCCACTTGCTTGCTAAAAAGTACAAACAATTAGGCCACCTATTCTTTCACTGCACTCTCCAGCTATAGTCAAGGTATTCAGGATGGTTGGTTGGCCTGTCCTTCCCCCCACTTGCTTGCTAAAAGTACAAACAATTAGGCCACCCTATTCTTTCACTGCACACTCCAGCTATAGTCAAGGTATTCAGGATGGTTGGTTGGCCTGTCCTTCCCCCCACTTGCTTGCTAAAAGTACGAAAGTTAAGTCTGGCAAATTGTTAACCACGTCACTCTCTCTAATCTCTCCCACAGTACTGGTCAATATTTCAAGGTAGTCCCTTATCCTGTACCTCCGTACCTGAGGCAACAACCTCGATGTACCGACATTGTTGAGCTGCCATTTTCACTCCAAGGTATACACACGCCTAACAACTACACCTTTTTTTAACCCTTTTCCCCCTTCTTATATACCGAGCGTGAAATTTTTAAATGTACGTATATATATACTGAGCATGCGAGGTAAACTGTGCCTCAATAAGTTAGTAACTCCTTTTTTGAACGTTAGAAGCCCTTGTGTTATCATAAATTTAACCCTTTGGATGCCGCCAAGGGTATCTGCTTAAATATAACCCCATATAAATTCTTATGGACTTATGGAGGCTCTGGACACATTATGTGTCCGTGGCTGGTTAAGTGTTAAGCTGCGTACCTTACTGCCCCCGCTGTCAGATATTATGACTTATTTCTCCTCTCTCTCTCTCTCGCTTCTCTCTCTCTCTCTCTCTCTCTCTCTCTCTCTCTCTCTCTCTCTCTCTTCAGCCATGGACCACCTGTATCCCGTACAGTATAGGTCACAGTTGAACTCAAACAATAAACACTCGGAAAACGGGCTCAAACAGGTAATGAAAACCGGTCAATCCCGTACAACCTCCCCCGTATTCAAATGCTCTCCCTTTTTCATCAATGCGAATGCCCCCCTCCCACCTCAATGACTTAATTTTGATACTTGTTTTTCAGGTTTTCATCAATGCTATATCGGAGGCGATGGGTCAGACGATGTCATTTGAAGAATGTGGAGAGGCCGTTTATGCAGCTATGGTGAAGGTGCGTTATTTATATGTGGGTGAACTGAACTTACCTAATTGCCGTCTAAATTATTATTTTATCTGACACCAATGCTGTTGAGCTCATTAGAAGCATCTTGCTTGTATCCAGTCACCAGATATACGTGTTGGCAGTATAATATATAGAATGTTAATTTCAATATTTCTCTCTCTAATTTAACAGAACGGACCAAACTGGGGGTTATTTGTCGTGGCTTCTCTGTACTGGAGGGTTTCAGGTATATACATATGTTATCAGAGGAAAAAATTTTGGGAAATTTAAAGGAAAATTTTTTGCGCATGCTGAAATTTTGTGGGCTACCTCATCGTATTTTTCCCGGTTTTTTTTCCAGGAAATCCGAAACACTCCATCGAGTGTCTGCGCAGAGCTCTTCACTATAGTCCCAATATTGTCAAGGACGTCGGGTACATCGCCCTTGCCAACGTGTTTCATCGCCACGGTTACGTGAAGGAGGCCGTAATCGCCGCACGAGCAAGTCTCGACGTCTTGGAGAAATCAGTAAGTACAATCGCTCTCTGAGGCAACCCCTGCAAAGACACCTTTTCTTTCCCCAAGAACAGTTCTTGCATGCAATTTAACCCCTGAAATAAGGACACCTCACTAATATGGACGCTTTCTTCTGTCCCATTGGTGTCTGGATTAGAGGAGTTCCACTGTATTTGCAAACTCAAACGTTCTTACTACTGCCTCCCTCCCTCCTCTCCCTCCCTCCCTCCCTCCCTCCCTACTTCAGCCTGTAGGTCACTACACAGTGGCAGGCATCTACCTATCTCTGAAAGACTACACGTCAGCCGGTCTTCATCTGAGGACAGCTCTCCACTTGCAACCATCCTTCGAGCACGCTCTTTCTGCTCTTCGGCTCGTTCGCTGTTTCCTAAAGTTTAATGAAGAATACGAGCAGTTTCAGCGAAAGGTATCAATCATAATATTCAGTCAGAATCATCTTCAATACGTCATCTAACCAGGACCTTATATTCTAGTCTACTAGTGAATTTTTTGTAAACTTTACCGTAATAAATTTGAGGTGCTTTAATGTGGCAGTACATATGGGCTATATTTAGAAATGTTACTAAAGATAGAGCTAAACCATAGGACCCACTGATAGAATGCGATTAAGTTTTCATTTTAGGAATGTTGTCTAAATTTAACCCTTTTGGGGTACTTTAAATTTTCCTCCACAGTTAAGTAAACCTGAGGGGACGCCACTCAAAGCGTTTGAATCCGTTCTCGTAACTGATATGGTGACTGCGATCGAAACCCTACGCAGTCAGGAACGCGTACGCCAGCCACCGAACGTGACTAAACCGGACGACGTCTTTGAACGAGAGGGACGAAAATCGGCCGCGGAGCTTTTCACCGGCGAAGACGCGCTCAAGTACATCACGAATCTCGCGATTCTGCGCAATAAACGGCGAGAGCGGGAAACTGAGGAGGGGGAGAGTGGGAGGAGAGAGAGGGAGGACATCGAACGGAGGCTGAGGGAAGAGATGATGAAGGTCGAACTCGACGGATCGCTGGAGGAATTCCTGAAGAAGAAGAGGAGCGAAGATGGAGAGAATGAGTTTGAAAAGAAGGTTCATTACGAACCTAATCAACTGGACATAACTCCTCTCATGCAGAAAGTGAGTCAAAGGGTTTCTTTTTTCGACAGCACACGTCCGTGATATGCTATGTACATTAGAAGCCAAAGGCCTTTGTAATGTGTTCTACGATTGTGTCTGTTACATCGTCTTGTTTTTCTCTTCCCTCCCAATAGAGAAAAGGTTTCTAGCCGCATATATACAAACGGAACATAGCATAACGGCCCTTTTTTAATGTGCTCTGCTTTTCTTGTTTGCTGCTTCTTATCTTCTTATTTCTAGGTAGCCAGCCGCATACAAGCGGAGCAGAACAACTACGACCCTCAGCTGATTGCACAGAGTAGAGCTGAAATAGAGACTGAGCTTCGCGACATAGTCGTTGCTTCTGCCCGCGCCATTGCCAACAATCAGTCTCCAGTCCAACACACTACTCCGGTACGAGTTATCGGGAACGAAAGGGGGCCGCATTCGACCCAGCTCACGCAGGATGAGAAGGGAAGAGAAGATGTGAAAGAAGAGAGAGACGGGAGAAAAGAAGAAAGCGAGGAGGAGGGGGAGAGAGAGAAAGATGGTGGAGGGAGGGAGGCGACGGAAGAGCCGGCAAAGAGAGAGCGTTACCCCGGGTTTCAACCTGGCCAACACTGCAAGAGTGTGCCGTCATGTCGCTGCCAAAGACTCTTCTCTTTACCAGTACTTGGCTGTCTGTCACGGCTAAGAAGATAAAGTGAGATTCAAAAGTCTTTCAGGCTTATTAAATTTACTAAAGTCCGCTGTATTTTAGTGGTTCATAATTTTGTGGTGTCCTAACTGCTCATTCCCCCCCTCCCCCCCCTTCCTACTACTCACAGGGTCGATGAACATGTAGATTTCGAGTCCCCTCTTGAAGACACTTCGCTGAAGCCGTTTTGCCCGACCAATATACCCGAGTCTGCTAAAACCTTTCCCAACCTAGCAGTGAGTGTTTTGGAGCTAGCTTTTAACCCTCTCTGCTCTCCCACTTTTAACCCTCTCCACTCTCTGTCTCACAACTTTTAACCCACTCATTTCTCTTTTACTTTAACCCTCTTCGCTCTACCTCACTTTTGCTTTTACCGCTCACTGCCCTCACTGCCCTTACGTTCGTCAACTTGAATTTAAACTCTTCTCTTTCTCTCCCACTTTTAACCCTTTCCACACTCCCTCTCATTTTAACCCTTTCCACATGCGCTCTCATTTAACCCTTTCCACACTCCCTCTCATTTTAACCCTTTCTTCTCTACTATGTACCTTGTCAGGGAATGTCGGGACTACCTCAAGTAGATCACTACAAGCAAGAAAGGGGCCTCATTGAGGTCTTCACTAACCTCAGTGGTTCATATCGCTCCACTGAAGACGTTGCTACCAGAATTAACGTATCCATGGCAAAGGTGAAAGAAATCCTACACAAATTTAAAAAATGGGGAACTCGTCCATTTTTTTACTACCGTAGTTACTGGCAAAATGTGCATATGTAAATACAAATTTAGAGATCAGCAGTTTTGTGTTTAATTAGTGGTTTTCACTCGGAGTTTATCCACTTTGTTTAATAGCTTAAAAAAGTGTTGTAAACTTTACAATTACTTTTTCTTAATTCTCAAAAGCATTTATGCATACATATGCGTACGTATGTAGTAAATTCATGATACTAGGAACAACTGTAGTTACCCTCGGCGCGCATGCGCAGCGAGGAGTACGGATAGTTGGGTTGTCTGTCTCTGTCGTGCTCATGTCTGTGACTGTCATCTCACTTCTCGAGTGTTCGTTGTATCGTCTCACAAAGGATCCCACTACTGACGCCGGCAATGAAGGTCAGCAAAATAGGTGGGTTTTCGCTGAAAACGCTCCGTTGCAGAGCTCTAGAGCGCGAAGAAAAAAGCCAATATGCAAATACACACAACGGCGTACTACGGCATGATCGATCGCGTGACTCATGCGTACCTCGGAGGCACCAGAAAGATGCAACGCAGGGCGTGTATCGCCTCTCGCATGCTATCTTTTTCTAGTAGTCGGGTAGTTAGCCGCGCGTCAGACTCGGCGCGAGCTGGGCACAGATTGAGCCACCGGGTACAGCCAAAACTACACCCAGCCCAGCAAGCAATTAGTCGTACGGCGCATGCGTTTACTTACGCGTGCGCGTCACAGACGCCGCGCGAGGTTTGCACTTCAGTGCTTTTCATTAACTGTAGTAATGGGGTGGGCTATCAATTTCAAGGAAATATGAAAATGAAATGTTTCCCCAATAGAATGAGTCCTCCTGGGTGCTGTCCAATCTTGCTGCCCTCTACTGGAGGATCTACGGGGAGGGAGAACTGGCAGTTGACTGTTTGAAGCATGCTCTTTACTTTTCCGACTCCAGCAACAAGGTGAGTTGGAGCATTGTTCAAAACTTAATAGGATGTTCAGTGTTCGATGCTGTGGTTGAAGTTGAATCTACACCTGAATCTTAGTTGTCTGTAGTTTTTACTTTTTACTTCGATATGTGTGGATATTATGCTGTGTCCATGTGAATAATAATAATAATACTCACGGTGGCTGCCACAGCACTAGGGCCATAGACCACGCACCCAGAGCAATGGGCGGAACCGTTAACAAACGAACATACACCATATGAACATGTGAATAAATAAATAAATAATAAGTAATGTGTGTGTTCTTTTGTCTGTAGGAAGTTGCTCTGGTTAGCTTGGCTAATGTACTGTATCGAATGGGATACGAATCAGACGCAACTGCAGTCATGCAACATTCACTGGAGGTATGGATAACCTTTACCCCTATATACAGAATGATGTCTTGATATATACATGTATAGCTACTATATTATAGTGTGATGAGGATTGTTTGTTTGTTGTGCAGGTCAATCCCAAGTTGGTTGTGAATCATTTCACAATGGCAAATTTACTGGCAGCAAGGGTAAGTCAGTGTGTTTGTACTGCATGGGTTTATTATACATAAAGGCAAAAACTATGGTTTGTTGATTCACTATGGTTACGCAGGGATTTGCGGCAGAGTCTGCCAGCTACTTTGAGGCAACTCTGCAGTTCCAACCTGGCTTTGAGCCGGCTGCAGAGCGACTTCAGGCTGTTCGCTGCATCACTCTCCTCAAACACATCCAGGTTAAAAATTTGTTAGGAGTAAAATTTTGTACTCTCTGGGCTTTAAATTTTTGTTAAGAATCGTGGCAGAACTATGTATTTAATGGTCTCTGGTGGTTCATAATAGCTACAATTTTTACGGATGACTGTTAAAATTTGCAGATGAAGAGGGAAAAGGAGGAGAAGAGACAGAGAGAATATGAGGCGGAACTGGAAAAACAACTTTACGAGCACAGAAAAAAGCTGGGACACTTTGACTGAGGCGCCATTCTGATCATGTAGTGTTCCCACACTGCATAATGTCCATTTTACCATGCTTTGGGAGTATTGTTATGCGAAAAGTACCGTGTTTGAAAGCGCGCGTTTAGTTGCGCTGCGCATGCGCATTCTAGCGCGGCTCTTTAATTACGCGGCGCGGAACAATGGCGACCGAAACGGTCGTCAATTCCCTGGGAAAGGCTCTGCAAGACGACAAGAAACCGGGCGAAGAGCAGGTTCTGCAGTTCAAGGATTTCGTGTGGGATCAGTTCATCAAATACATCAGCTCAGCCATTCTAGCTCTGACCATACTCAACTTGTCCGTCGAGTTTTTGAGAGGCGGCGGCGTTCTTTGCTTTCCTCCGCTAAATACAAAGTCAGTGGGTTTTGCATAAATTATATACAATCTGGAGCTTATAAAATCGGCTGCATGATAATTATGTATGCATTATTCATGAGCCCGAGTAAGTGTAATTGTGTTTTATGCAGGGATGTAATAGAAGCTGAGACAGATGAGGGAGACAAGGAATTTTCCGTGAGGCAGATCGACTTTTTCAACGGCTACTGTTCGAGGAGCATTCCTGCCACCGAGTTTTTCCCTCTCTACATCCTAGTACACGGAATACTTCTTATAGCTCCTCACTACATCTGGAGCGCCGTATTCAGGGGAGATTTCGACAGCTTTTTCGCCGTAACGCGTAAACTCGACCGACTCCGAGATCGAAATACGGGAGAATACGATCCCACCAATTTCGATCGCGTTGAGAAGCTTGAGATCGAATTCGGAGGTCGAAGAAGGAAAATATTTCGTTTCTACATAGCGAAATTGATTGTACAGCTCTGCGTTTGCATCGGATCTTACATATTCAGTGCAGCATTTTTCAAAAATTTTAAGTCCGTGTTCGACTGTCCACGCGATCTCGCAGAATCTAATGTTATTCCCGAACGCTGGCCTCTGAATGTAACGATTCCGTGTGTCTATACTAGTTTGAGAATCCTGGCTCTTGTACGTTACGCTGACTATATTTTGCTGGGTCTTGCCGTGTGCCTCATTCTGCTCGGTCTTCTGTGGTGTTCTGTACGTCACACTAAGGAACTGGGGCACATGGACATCGCGAGTTTCGTTTTTCAATCTTGCCTGTCGACGAAGACCTACGTTTTCCCGCCGTTTTACGAAATTCGAAGGAGGGTAAATCGTTCGGACAATTGCTGGCTCTGCTGTTACCCTTTGGCACTTTTTAGACGTGCGTGTCGTGGTTGCATCGCGTGTGCCTTTGATTTCAAAATCTTTTCCCCCCGCATTCAAAACGACTTAGATTTTTTCGAATTGTACCTCTTCCGGGCAGATACAAGCCACGGTCGAGTGTTTAAAGAGATTCAGATTGACAAAGCTCTGCGGAAGCTGCAAGGAGAAGATCACCAACTGTTGCATCTCTTTCTTGATGCTCAGCGAGATATGAGTGCGCAGATTAGGGATAAGAGCATAGCTGAGACAAGGAGACAGCAAGCTGAAAGAGAAAGACAAAGCTCGGAGGTATGCATGGAGAAGTTGCGGTATGCTTTGCTGATGAGGGCTAACAAGCCCGAAACAGCTGTCCAGAGCTCCCATCTTTTTTCTCTTGGCATCACATGGTCTATTGTTACATGGGGCTGCCAAGAGAACATGGGAGCTGTTCAAACCTGCAAAAAATAATTGTAGTGGGGGGAGGGTAGTAAAAGTGGGCCTATGCAAATTTGTACTCTTCCTACTATTGTGGCTATGTTGGTGGGCATTCCTGGTTGTGGGTACACATGAATCTGCTGTACCAGGCTATCAGCTCATTCAGGGAATTTTCCTTACTGTAGTAGTGGTGCTGATGATTCTAGAAGATAAAGCTTAAAGTCTCTTTAAAAGCTATATTACCTGAGTTCTAGGAAAGGTTGGAAAGCACACTTTATTCATTGCAGGGTGTGTGGGTATCCATGCACTGTTATTGTGCCACTGTGACCACTGAAACCTGTGCACCCTGCCTAGGACACTGAAAGAGCTTAGTGGTTTTCTGACTGTTAATGTGCCATATATAGTATTATGGCAGAACCAAGTGTCTTTTACAGGAAGGTGTGTTCTTTATTCAGAGGTTCCTTTTCTACTGAACTTATTCTGTACTGAGTTTACTGCCATGCCATGGTGTTATGTAGAAGAGAGAGGTGCCCAGGATGGTGAAGCAACAGTTCAGATCGATGGTGGTACATCTCCCGAACAAGGAGCAACTCCACACGGAGATACAGCTACGTCTACAGCAGAACCAGCTCCCGATCTTGACAGAGTGAAGGACCTGGACTCCTTCTTTAAGATGGGTCCCGGAGGATTCACCAGAAATCCAGAGACTTTTGCTTTCATTCAACTGAAGCAACACCTGAGCAACATAAAATGGGTCTGTGGCATATAGAGAACTAGGTTTTGTAGACAGAAGTACATTTTATTAGTGAGGTGTCTCGATCTAAGAAGAAAGTGTCTTGATTAGTGCGCTGTCATGATCTCTATGTATATATACTAACTGGGGATGGAAAAGTTGTTCAGTTTATATAAATGTCCTTAAACTTTCTCTCTCTGTTTTAGAGACCAGTTGAAGGAATAAGGGATAGGCTCTATGGGTTTGTTCTCTACTCACCCAAACATCTGGAGGGAGAGAAAATGGGTCAACCCAAAACCGACATGGCTCTGGATATTTCGTTTGGGTCCAGCGGATATGCACTAGTTTTAGCCAGGGCCTTCAAAAAGGTGAGTTCAGTATAGGAAAGAGAGCATTGGTGAGTGAGGAACAGATGTTGTAATTATGATAGCTGACCAGATTTCTTTGTTCCAGCTATTCATGGGCATGTGGGTAAAAGTTTTTTCTGAGTAGGTTGTAAGAGTAAAACTTGTGCCTTCTTATGAAGGTGTGTTACTTACTGCAAAAGTAGGGACGTTTTCGAGAACTTTCGTAGCACGAGGTAGGGTGGCCTAGGGTGTAGCACGAGGTAGACATATGATAGGGTTGTTTACACAATTGGCAGTATAGCCAAGGGGCTATTCCGTGTTTCCACTCACATTCCGCAGGTAGTTTCCGTGAACTTTCACCCCTTCTTCCGAAATGAGAAAGAGCCCGTGAAGAAGAGGGCATTCTACACAAACTATTACGAGGTCAACCTCCCTGTGGATATCTTTACTCAAGTCAACACAAACATCACCAAGGTGTGTAGACCATAGCTTTTGAAATGTTAAAGACCTTATGGTTGTGATTCACATTACGTAGGCTACGGACAAGATATTTGAGCACATGAGAAAACCGGTCAAAAAGCCAGCCGATTTCATTGTGGTGGGACCTCTTACCGAGGAATCACAGATTGTTACAGGTAATATCAGGGGTTTCCTCTTTGGATCGGCATTAATTTTTGCTGGAAAAGCTCTTGGCTTGTAAGGCTTCCAGATAGAGATTGCTGTTTCAGGGTGCTACAAAAGAGGGATTTCATGGGGTTAAACTAGAGAGTTAGAAGAGTTAACCTCATAGTAGGGGAGTAACAGGGTTAAATTTCCTCACAGATTGTTACAGGTAATATCAGGGGTTCCCTCTTTGGCATTTGGGTTGTAAGGCTTGCAGATAGAAATATGGTTTCAAGATACTACAAAAGAGGGATTTCATGGGGTTGAACTGCTCTCTTGTGGAGAGTGAGAAGGGTTAATTGGTAAGAGAGTTAACAGGGTTTAAATTTCCCCTCCCCACACAGTTACTCTGGCTATTGAGACACTGCATACTGTGGGTCTGATAGAAGAGAAGGCAATTCTCCTAGCTGTGCGACCACTGAAGATAGGTCATCGAGTCATGACAAAGAGATTCTGCAAATACGAACCATCTCTTGCGTAAGTCCACGTATTACTATTTCAATCTTCTCCCTTCTAACTTTCCTCCCTACAGGTTGTTTGATGGTAGCATTCATACGGAGACGGTAGTCAAAGATCTGAAAAGCGAACTGGGGGATGAAGCAGAGGTCCCAGTCGAAGGATTCTCAGGGATCCGTGTCGAGTGTGGCGACACAGAGTGCATTTTCGAGTTTGTCACGTACAAGTACAACGGAGAGAAGAGAAAGGAAGTTGTGTTTAAACCACCGCCTAGCAACGAGGTTCCCACCCAAGCACCCACCAATATCGTACGTTCGCAAAGCATGCCTCCACTTAGCGCACCTCAGCAACTGGCTGAAGCATTCGGGCAGTTTTTCCAAAACCTGAGCAGTGTTATGGGGCAACAAGGCTCACCTACACCTGTCTTTGCAAGAAGCAATACTTTCCCAGCCCAACTCGGATCCAGTTACGCAGCACCACAACCACAACCACCGCACGGTATTATTCCAAACAACGACACGGCACTTTTGGAGAATCGACAGCAACATGGGCGGAGCAACGGTGGAGGAAATAGACTTTTGCAGGCAGGGAGAGGGAGGGGTCTATTGAGAGAGTCAGCCGTAAACCAGAGCCATGACCAAGGGTCGCGAGGGTCAGTAACTGATCCGAGAGAGACGGGGAGATCCCGACGTCGCAGCAGTAGTACTTCTGGGATTATGTCTTCTATGTCACAGTTCGATTCCGTCAGCGAAGAAGATGAAGAAAACTTGCTACCACAAGTTTTATCTCCCACAAGTCATTAATTATGCATCTTTCACATCAACTCTGGTGGTTGTTTTTTTTATAATTGTATACATGATTCATCTGTGCCAGTGATGCACATTATATATGCTCATTCTATCCGTGCCAGCACTTACGCACTTACATTACTATAAAATAATTGAGAATGAAGTATACTTTGATTATGATTGCCAAACCATTATTAATGATAATAAGATACACAAAACGACGATGTAATGACGTTAAGATGGATGTCTATGGCACCAGTCATGCACAGGGCATTTGTCCTGATTACGGCATTCTTCGCATAGTTTGCAGTGTTCTTCTCCGCCACACTGATACTCGTAGCTCTCTACCAGTGTGTCCTTTATCTGCTTACATCCCTCACACTCCCCACGTGATAGGGTCAACCCCTCTGATGATGACTGTATGGGGGAAAGTGTGGTAAGAATTAGCAGTGCAACAGCATTATTGTGCACTATCATCACACATCATGTCAGCGTGCTAAGAGGTGACAATATGGACTGATACTAATTTAACATTAGATTTTTTACTGTTGCAATAAAAAAAATCATCAAAATTTTTATAACATCAGCAACTTAATGGATATAGCTAGAGCTATATATATAGTAGTCAGAACTTTATGGAAGATTGACAGAATCCTCGTCAAGGTGCCCAGCTGCACCAACTAGGACTGGGCATATTGACGGTGGATAAAAGCCGTCATAGTACTCAAAGAAGACATTATGGTGACATCCATCATAGAAGGCGAAAGCAACTTCATTTGAGATGTAGACTTCATAGTCATTAACTGGACGCAGCACTTCATATTCTTCAACTATTGCGTTTACTCCAAAGTATTCGTCGGGCCCATAGACTATGTACACATCGCCGCCATTTTGTGTTGTTGCGTACCCCCATTGAAGATTACCTTCAGCAAACAACTGACTATCTTCAGGTCCAAACGGGTGATACTAGGAATTGAAAATATTTATGTTATATACCTACATACCGATACGCTATACAACTAAAAATGCATGCTCTGAGAACACTGAAGAATGGTGTCTATAAAGGTAGCCAACATATTATAAATGGATAAAAGCCAGAGGTAAAAATGAAAGTGTACATATATGCAGACTTTATATTAATTTAACGGGGATAAAATGTTACAGTGGATACATAATTCGTATTGCTAAAAAAGTCACTAAAAGTCCAGCTGTGGATCTTGGTAGGTATAAAAAAGGATTACTTTGGCAGATTTCGCTTCCGCTTCAAGATAACCACCATCTCCACGAGGGACACCTGCTTGGGAGCCCTGAACCCGTGGTAGTATTTGAAGAAGATGCTGTCGCCACATCCTCGTAGTGAGCAAAAGCGACTTTCCTTGATATGTACTGTTCACCATCATTGACTGAGCGCATTGGATAGCCAACTTCTGGGTAATAGACCAAGTGCTCTTCGGGACCAATTACTGTGAGACTGCCCTGACGATCTAGTTGTGCTTTTAGTCCATCCTCGGCCCACAATTTATCTCCAATGGAGATGAACTAAAAGCAGAAGTATTGTACAAATCATATTTTGTACATTATATCAATGCATGTAATACTAACTAATATCCTGTCCATAACTAAAGAATCCCATGGAAGAAATTAGGCTACAGTCGAGGAAGATAAATCGACAGTTGATTACTGCTGAGGGATGTCAACAGCGTCAAGACAAGTAGAATCTCCAAGTGGGCAGGTAGTCGGTGGATAAAAACCAGGAGAAAATTGGAAAAACACATTATGGCCGCATCCAGAGTAATGACCAAATGCAACTTGATCTGATACATAAATATCTCGGTTGAGGACAGGACGAAGCCAACTATAGTGTTCAACTCCATTATGAAAAACTTGGTTAAGAAGAAAACCAATCCAGCGAAAACCTTCATTTCTACCGCCAAGCTGAAGTACTACACATATGGACACACAGTATCAATTTAAAAAAGCTGTGCATAAACATGCATCATTAAAAAAATATTGCCTGGTAGCTAATACAACATTGTACAAAGAGTAAAGAGTCAATTGGGATTGTTAATGGAATCTTCATCAAGATAGCTTCCGCAGGCAACATGGATTGGGCATCGAGATGGTGCGTGAAAGCCCGCATAGTATCTGAAAAAGACATTATGGCCGCATCCATTGTAGTGAGCAAAGGCGACTGTCCTTGAGATGTAAACTTCTCTGTTGTTCACAGGACGAACCCAACCGTAGGTCTCGACTTTCGGGTTTTCATCCTTAACAAACCACCAAAGAAAATTCCATCCAAATTCTTCATCTTGATTAATGACAGTGAGCACTGCATCATTATTTGATGTACCACGGCCCGGCTTTAGACCTTGCTGAGCCCAAAGCTGACTTTCTTCTGGTCCAAACGTATAGAACTAATAAAGGTATATAAAAACTATTGATTTTTGTAAGGCAATGAATTTGACAAACATTGCAGTAATATTAACCACACACAATAGTTCAATTAGAATGCATAAGCCGCGCGTCCAATCGGAGACACTGGAGGAACATAACTTGATGTGGGAAAGAACACTATTGAATCATCGCTGTATTGTTGAAACTTGACTTCAGTAGAGATTTTGTAGACATCGGCATAACTCCAGGCAGGGACTGCATTTGGAATTTCGTTCAGGTTTGGCTGACTTGCTGATCCAATGTAATGGCGGAGATAATTTGTCGAGCGATTGAAGACGACAAAAACCGATGCTCCATCTGGTTTCCGAGCCTTAACCATGCCAAGTGTGTTCTGATACCAGTAGTCTAGATTACCTGGAAACTTTGTATAACCCTGTTTATGAATTGTGAGGAATTTATGATAAAAAAAGATTATCATTTTTGAAATACGTGTTGCTAAAATAATCAAACTATGATTGTTTAACATAGTTTGACCTGTAATTAGGTAATCACTTGCAAACAAACGTTAGCAAGCATGTTCAAATTTGATCCGTCACCCGCAAAACATTTTTATTAGTACTGGGCAGTCATTCATCTTTCGAATATAGTTCTTGCCTTAGTGGTGGGTAAAACTTAGATCACATTAACTTATAGTCTAGAAAACTTCATTAGTGCACTGACATCATCATGATCATTATCTTTTGCATTAATATCAAAACTCATCATTTTGATGAATGCAAGGGTTGCCACAATCACATGCACTGTGAACAGATTTTTGACTTCTGCTTATTTAGGTTGCACATCAACTTTGGAGATGAAATGCAGTTTAAAAAAACCTCACCCTGCTACATAAAATGTTACTAATAAATCTGAGTTCTTAGCAAAGAATGACTGATGAGTCAGTAAGGGAGATCTTCCACTTCTAGAAAACCGCCGTCTTGGCGCGGACATCGGCTTGGGGCTCTGAAGCCATAGTTGTATTTAAAGAAGAAGTTGTGCCCACACGGATCATAGTGTGCATAGGCGACTTGGTTTGAGATGTATTCTTCGTTACCGTTGACCGGACGCAACGAATTGCCAGTTGCTGCAGGAGCTCTGGAAGACGACATTCGCTGGCCAGGACCAATTACTGTGTACCTCCCAGCACCACTTGGATTTGTTTGTAGCCCATCCTGGGCCAACAATTTACTTGCTGATGGTCCAAATGAATGGTACTAAAAGCAAAAATATATGTAATTAACATCACCATTATTGCTATATATCGGTGTACATGTTCCGATGCATGGATCCAAGTGGGTATGTCATAGATACAGTTGTCAAGAAGGGATTGCGGTTGAAACCAGTTAATGGGCTTGGCGACTTAAATCATATGGTAGATGACAGAATGCACCCAACTATATGATAAACCCATGCCCCTTGGGTTACTGTCTTATGTGCCTGCAAAAACAATTAAAGGCAGAATTTTGTATGTTTAAGAGTCTAAAATTGAATAATTCTCGTGAAAGGAGACTTTGTCTGGTTCAAGGGCGTAGCTAATAGAACACATCATTATACAGTTGCACACATTTTAAAACTCCTATAATACTAGCTACAGAATCCAGTTGTCATTGCCTTCTATAGGCCTTAGGTGGCAGTAGCCGGTCGTTCAATTGGAGACTTTGATGGTATAATAAACGAATTTGGAAAGAAGATAATAGACCCATCATTGTATTCTTGGACTTTTACTTCATTTCGAATGATGTAAACAGCACTAGAACCCGGCCAGGCTGGAACTACATTTTGAATACCACTAAGGTTTGGCTGCGTTGACAATCCAATGTACTTCTTAAGTTCATCATTTGTCGAGCGATCGAAGACGACAAAAACCGATGCTCCATCTAGTTTCCGAGCCTTAACCATACCAAGTGTGTTCTTATACCAGTAGTCTAGATTATCAGGAAACTGAGTATAATCCTTTTTCTGAATGGGTTTAAAAAGGCATCAAAAATTTTCTTATTAATACTACTTTTTAGAACAGTGGACATCAAACTCAGAATGCACCCGTATAAGATACATGTTAAAGTGACTACAGTTTTTTAGCTGATTATGATTTTACATACTTGTACAAATCAGTTCAATAAGTAGTACAAGTCCAGGAAAGAGATTCTTTAAAACTCTTCATAGGCTGGGTGCCCCAGAGGACAGGTCTTTGGGTAAGCCTGACACGCGTCACCTCTCTTTTCATAGTAGAAAACTTTGCAGTTGCATTGGTAGCTCACGCCTTTTATCTGGACACTTTTGTAAACGGTGTCATCCAAGGAGCCTCTGAGACCCAAGTCCCTCAGCTCTATGCGCTTCCTCGAGTACGAATCATAAGTGCCAAGCCGTTGATGATCTTCTGGGCTCATGATGGCAAGAACCGGAAAGTTGTCACGGAGACGTATGGCGTTTTGATACTTGAGACGATCATCGACCCAAAACTGCTCTCTATCTTGTACACGTTTTAGGGTGCCATATGGAGTGAACTGCTCGTTATATTCCTAATTAAAACAGAGCACTTTAAGATCATTCAGTCTAATGTGCTTCAATATTGAATTTTGGAGCTGCAATGCAAATTTTTTTGCATTGGTCTTCGTTGTATGTGTACAGCCATCTCTTGTTATGTATTACACATACATTACAGGGACGACCAAATGAATTTCACTATTTTTATTATACTGAACTTGACACTGTAAAAATGTGTATTTAAAAATTTCTTTCCCTGATTGTGTGATAGTGTGCTGTCTCCCTATCTAGCAGTGGCATCAACAGTGCTATGTTCAGTCCCTCCCTCCCCTATCTCTAGTCTGCCCATCTCTGACTTTGTTTATTTAGAAACAACAGGTGGATATACGGTATCTCGTGAATATGCTCACTGCTCTGGAGGCAAAACCGCATGCATCTTCCCATATTTCTGCCGACATGCAAACTATCCAGTCACTGATGCAGGAGAAGTAAGGCACACTGAAACATTAGTCTTAACCTAAGAATAGGACACTTTTCCATCTTAAAATAGTTTTAAAAATAAGAGTTGACAATTAAAAAACAAGAACTTACAGCCATGATGATTTACTTGCTGATCTTCGGTTGAAACCTGAAAGAGTTGAAAATAGCAATTTAAAAGTTCTGCAAACAACAGCAGGGATACAAGACAGACTTCTTACCAAAAGTAAAACCACGAACTTGTCGCAAATGTAGCAGGAAAATGATCGTCAGCCGCCGAAGATTGACGATTTTATCTCACAAGAGTTCCAGCAGTTCCTCTTGATAGTTCCTCCGAAAGAAGTCAGACAACTGTGATCTTCGGCTTTTGCTTGCTCTTTTTAAACCAACGGCACCTCTCTATTATCCTATATGCTCTTATGGGGTTTCTACCTCTACGATCCTTCGAGAACACGGCTACGTCACCTACTGGGAAATACCCTGGGTTCGCACCGGGAACACTATTCTTATTATATTATATGACGTATGGCCCTCGGACTAAAATTCATCGGTATTTGAGTCACGCCAACCCTTTGGAAGCACGTGAAGTGCATGGTGCAATGCAAACCTGCGGTAGCTCCAGATAGTGGAAAGATCTGTTTGTCCATCTGGACAATGGTGCACTCTGACATGTGTGGCTTTTGGGGGATTGTTGGCCTCCATACCAGAGAATTTAGCTTTCCCGATAAAATGGTGCCCTGGCTTTTAGACACTCCTTAGGCTACACCCTTATCGGTAGAGGTGGACATAGGAACATGGTCTGGATAAACACCATTGTGCATGGCTTCAGCCCTTGCTGGAGGGAACCAGGGATCTCATTGGCCAGTGCCATGGTAACCGTGGTATCCACGGCAACCAGAGCACTTTGTGTGTCTGATTTTTTGTGCTGCCGTGGAGTGGACAGTTGGTGTATGAGAGAGTGAATTTTTTTATCGCCCATTCTGAATTCTGTTTACACAGTTCCAGATGGCGGGAAAGGGGAGTAGATGGGGCACTTCCCGAGTACCCGATAAGCCACACACGTTCACTGCATTTCGTGGGAGGGTGCGTTATCTGAGAAAATGTGCTGTTGTGGTCTCCGAAATATTCCCTCATTTCTTCAACTGTGTAATACTCGGATTTCCAAGGGCTTAGTGAATTTCGCAACAATCGACTACGTACCGATAATGTTATGAATACACATTGTATGCGGTCAGTGCACCGTACCATATTTGGTGTGTTGTTCGTGCCGTATACCCGGGAGATTCCCAGGGAGTTACCGGAAAATAATATTTAGAGGCTGTTTATGCGCACATGGCTATTCCGTGCCTCAATACTGTGCAGATGGTTGTTGTGTGCCTATCCCTCCAAAAAATCGCCAAATCCCTCTTTTTTGTGCTAACCTGTGATGCATCATGCCTATATATTTTGAATCGACACGCAGCATTTTCAAGCAAAAATACTCCAAATCAAGCAAATTTGACACATTTCTCAAGCAAAGGTTCATCTGCAGGTTGGTAGGTATGGCATAGTATACTTACAAAGTACATGGCTAAGCACTATACTTGTAGTAACTGTATGCATCATGCAGTAGTGATGCATATGCACAATCAACAATGATGATACATCTACACCTCATTAACCCTCGGCGCGCATGCGCAGCGAGGGTTACGGGTCTGTGTGTGTGTGTGTGTGTACGTGTGTGTGTGTAATCGCACTGGGCTTATCTGCTCGCTCTGGAGGCACAAGAAGTCACAACTAATGGCGTGTATCGACTCCCGCATGCTATCTACTAGTGTAGCTAGCCCGTGTCAGACTCTCTGCGTGCTACTAGCGGGAGACCACGAGTAAACGCATACTAGCCCATCCCATCAATTAACAATACCGCGCATGCGCAGTGCGCCGAGGGTTTGCAGTGCTTTTCATTTTAAAGTAGCCTCTTTCTGCAAAAAATAGATCTCATGCATATCATGATAATACTGATGAATGATCTACACTATCAGGTGATGGACACTAGTGTCTGGTGTGAGTTCGGATGTGGGTACGAAGATTCCCAGCCACAGTAACTGCAATCATGCAGCATTCACTCGAGGTATGTATGTATGTCAGGATTACCTATACCCCTACTAGAATGATGTCTTGATACATGTGTATATGTATCTATTATAGTGTGATGAAGATTGTTTGTTGGTGGTGCAGGTTTCTCCCAAGTTGGCTGTCAATCCTTTCACAAGTCAGTGTGTTTATGTATGCATATTATGTATACTGCATGGGTTTATTTTACATAAAGGCAAAAACTATGCATGCAGAAGTTTGTTGATGCACTATGATTACACAGGGATTTGCAGCAGAGTCTGCCAGCTACTTTGAGGCAACTCTGCAGTTCCAACCTGGCTTTGAGCCGGCTGCAGAGCGACTTCAGGCTGTTCGTTGCATCACTCTCCTCAAACACATCCAGGTAAAAATTTGTTAGGAGTAAAATTTGTTCTCTCTGGCTTTAAATTTTTCTCATTTTTGTGCACCCGTAATGGGCTACAATTTTTACTTATGGCTGTTAAAATTTGCAGAATGAAGAGGGAGAAGGAGGAGAAGAGACAGCGGGAATATGAAGCAGAACTGGAAAAGCAACTTTACGAGCACAGAAAGAAGCTGGGACACTTTGACTGAGGCGCCATTAGTATAGCTGATCATGAAGTGTTCCCACCACTGCATAATGTCCATTATACCATGTTTTTGGGGTATTATTATGCAAAAAATGCTGTGTTTGGGATAGCATGTGCTTCACTTGTGCCGCACATGCATACGCGATGGAGAGAACGACACTACTGGTGGTAGTCAACTCGCAAGATTAAACGACTATGTCAGTTGTACACGACAGTACGCATGCGCAATAAGTGCAGTTCTTGTCTTAAAATTACACAAGAAAATGCGAAAATGGACAAAGCAAAATTCAAGATCTATGTCTACAAAGTGTACTAATATTACATTTTAGATCATTCAATGGTCTGTAAAGACAATCATTTAATTCTCTGTAAATACAGGGGGATCGTTCTCGTCACTTGCTCCACTGCTTTCTTCGATTGAGGATAGCAGAGGGCGTGAGCTGCTAGAAGACCTATGACGCCTTGTGTCGGACTGGGCCAAACTCGATCTGTTGGCATCAGCTGGCTGCACAACATGCTGCTGCCTAGTAAAAGGTCTGGCTTGTTGGAGGTCACCCGCTATAGGACCGTGAGGTTGCTCAGAAGCACCAGTGGCTCTGTCGTTGTCCGGTTCCCGACTTTCATCTGTATCAGCCGACCTGCTGTGACTTGTGGCTGATTCGGAAGCGTACATTGGCTGATCATCGTCAGGTGTTCCTCGGTCACTCGAACCTGCTACGCTTATACTTTTTCGAAGAGTCGTTTGCTTTGAATTTTTCAACTTCATCCTCATCTCACGTGCTCTTGGCGAGAAATCTTGCTCCACTTGTGTTAGTCTGCTATGGCCTCCATGCAGTTCTGCAGTTGGTCGTGGAACTACGTCTACTGTGTTTCTCCTTTGAATAGGCGGTGCTCTGTGCTGGCTTAAGTCGTAGACTCCACCAACTTGTAGCTCGGAGAGCTGGGGATGAACTAGCGGTGGAGAAAAGAGCGATGAATCCTCCTGGTCGTTTTCAGAGTGCCGTGGGTTAACTGGGCCACTTTGCGAACGAGAGAAATGCACTTGGCTACTACTGGCTTCGTCGTTGTCGTACATTGTTTCGTCTTCATCGGGTTGTCCCATGAGATCTGCTAAAGTAGTTGTCCCAGGCTTTTCTTCCTTCGTCGTCTCTCCCGTATACTGGTAGGCAATGAACTCGAAAATACACTCGATGTCACCGCAGTTGACAGTAATCCCTGATAGACCATCAACGAGCCTGAAATCTGGACCAACTTCTGCTTCGAGTTTAGGGAGAACGTTTTTTTGGTGGTAATCATGGTCGAATAACCTTATAGGGAAAAGTGGAGTTGAAATGAAGGGAAAAGGGAATGAGAAAGACATACACACACAGAGATAGAGAGAGAGAGAGAGAGAGAGAGGAGTCCCATAAGATCTGGATCCTCAGGAATAAGAAATAATTATTAACTCTAAACATCTACATGGATGGGTCTTTGAACTGTGCGGTGTTTTTGTGGAACACTAGTAAAACAGTAGACTTATCCATAACCCCCTCCTTTGTACACTTGTATTGCAAGGTCAAGAAGGTTTTCTTACCGAGAGAGAAAGGTTACCAAGGATTAAACACTTAGAGTGTCTTACTCGAGTGGAGGCTCATATCTGAGGAAGCGTTTGGTTGTCTTTCGGTGTCCAATCTTCAACGGTCTAACGGCTAATAGAATTGCCTTTTTCTCGATGATTTCAGTGGTATACAGCATCTCTATCTGAAGGGTTACTGTAGAGAACACAATTTCACGTTAGCACAAGAACTAACAGTGCGCCTTCTAGCAAACTTGGCAAATTTACATTTCTAAATGGCTCAAATTAAATATGCAAAGATAACCAACCTGTAATCCTTTTATGGTCATCTTCAATAGGTCCAACAACAATGAAATCTATTGGTCTGGTGGGACCGTCCTCCTTAATTGGTTCCACCATTTGCCTCACAGCCTGCCGTATAGCAAAAGGAGTATATATATACACTGGAATCCCTCTATTTTGACACCAGACACCAATGGACAGAAGATGTTAGTGAGGTGTCCTTATTTCAGGGGTTAAAATGCATGCAAGAACTGTTCTTGGAAAGAAAGAAAATATGTCCTTATTAGAGAGGTGTCTTCATTTCAGGGGTGTCCTCAGAGAGTTGTTTCAGTATTTACACTAGTAGTTATGCAGATTATAGCTTTAAAAGACCTGGTTTATAGCTTCGCTGCTCCTGGTGAATATGTTTTCAGGGAAATCGACGTTGATATAATTCGTGTAGTACTTTTCCTTCTTGACGGGCTGTGCTGCATTGCGTAAGAACGGCTGAAAATTTACAGACACGACCTGTAAACAAGAGCAAAGAGGCAAAGTGGCTTCATTGAAAAGAGCACAAGGGAAATTCTTAGTGTGTAACATGACAGCAGATCAAAAACAGGTTGTGTGTTAGAGCCAAGTAATTTAAATCGCGCAATCTGATTGGTCCATGGCGGACTCTAACCTATCGTCAAACAATCCGGGCGCTTGGAATATACGCTGTGTTCTGAGCTGTGGGCTGACATCTGGCTACCAAAGTTTACACAACAATCCATTAGTACATTAGTACATTCAGAGTGCGGCAGCAGCAGAAATTCAGCATTGTGATGGGACTATAATATACGAGTGGGTAAGTGCAGTGGGACTTGCCAAATCTGTCATTTTGTTAGTAAGAGGTTCACTTAGAAACATTTTCCCGCTGCACATACCCATTCTGTGTTTCCAAGAAGGCTTTTGTAGTGGTTGAATGCATACATTTCAGGGTTTCCTGAAAATCCACCCTCTCTGAAAAACTGCCTCATGTCATTTTCACGTGGGAGAACCCGTATTATAGTCGACGGCCTCGGAGTGTATCCTGTACCGCCTCGCCGCCTATACGTTAACTAAAGTACTTAGACTCACGGTTTTGAATGCACGAGCTAAAACAAGGCCGTAGCCACTGGAGCCAAAGGATATGTCCATAGCCATGTCTGTCTTCACTTGACCCTCGGTGCCAGCAGGGCAGAACTTCACAAATCCATAGAGTCGGTCACGGATTCCCACCACTGGTTTCTACATCAAGGAGAGAGAAGGGAGAGAGGGAGGGAGTTTAGAGTTTTCTAGCGTAATGCCACCAGTCTAAATTTCTGAGAATGCACATCTGGTGCTTGGTTGATAGCAGAGATTCATGCACTTTGGGGACATTCATCTCTTCCTAGTAAGTGTGGCTGTGTACACAGGGTACATTACTGTGGCAAAATATCCCAATTACAGGAAACTCCCCTTTTGTAGTAGAAAACTCTGGGGGTAAGAAAGCTCTTAGGAAGAGCAGTCATACACAACAGTCCATGGAAATCTTCCAAAGAGACTTTCCAAATCTGTCATTTTGTCAGTAGGAAGTTCCAAGAAACATTCTATTCCCACTGCACATACCCATTCTGTGTTTCCAAGAAGACTTTTGTAGTGGTTGAAGGCATACATTTCAGGGTTTCCTGAAAATCCACCCTCTCTGAAAAACTGCCTCATGTCATTTTCACTTGGGAGAACCCGCATTGGGTTGCTCGGAGCCGTTCCATCCCCTGAACCTATGTTGTATAGATAGATGCAAAAGTAACTAAATCAACCACGCATTATGGGACTATTAGTGAGGTGTCCTCATTATTAAGGGGGGGTCTTAGAATGGGTTCCACGTATACGATCATTGGCTTTTTCCTCTCTTC